GAAAAAGCTGCCTTGTCCTGTGTTTTCTAAACATATGCTTTATAACAGTAGTCTTGTAAAATGCTTTAAAAATAAAGGGATGCCACTCTTATGGAATACGGTTTTAAAATACTGTATAATGTATCCTTTCCTTAAGAAAAGAAATTGCATATAGTCTCTGAGAAGGGCTGTAGTAAATAAGCTGGCTTTCTTTGAATCAGTTGTGTTTCAAATGAGAACAAGATTCCTCAGAAGGCTTTAGGTTTGCTGATAGTATTCCCTCTAGGGCGCTACCAAGAAAACGGTAAAATGTGTGATGTTCCCCTCCCTGTGACCATGTGTTCTCATTGTTCAACACCCACTTAGGAGCAAGAACGTGCAGTGTTTGGTTTTCTGTTCTTGCGTCAGTTTGCCAAGAATGATGGTTTCCAGATTCATCCATGTCCCTGTAAAGGATGTGAACTCATCCTTTTTTATGGCTACATTGTATTCCATGGTTTATATGAGTCACATTTTCTTTATCCAGTTTATCACTGATGGGCATTTGGGTTGGTTCCAGGTCTTTGCTGTTTCCAGGTAAACAGTGCCATGGTGAATGTACATGTGCATGTGTCCTTATAATAGAACGATTTATAATCGCTTGGGTATATACCAAGTAATGGGATTGCTGGGTCAAATGGTATTTCTATTTCTAGATCCTTGAGGAATTGCCACACTGTCTTCCACAATGGTTGAATTAGTTTACCCTCCCACCAACAGGGTTAAAGCGTTCCTATTTCTCCACATCCTCTCCAGCATCTGTCGTCTCCGGATTTTTTAATGATCGCCATTCTAACTGGCCTGAGATGGTATCTCTTTGTGGTTTTGATTTGCATTTCTCTAATGACCAGTGATGATGAGCATTTTTTCATATGTTTGTTGGCTGCATAAATGTCTTCTTTTGAGAAGTGTCTATTCATATCCTTTGCCCAATTTTGATGGGGTTCTTTCCTGTAAATTTTAGTTCTGTAGATTCTGGATATTAGCCCTTTGTCAGATGGGGAGATTGCAAAAAATTTTCCCATTCTGTTGGTTGCCAGTTCACTATAATGATTGCTTCTTTGGCTGTGCAGAAACTCTGGAGTGTAATTAGATCCCATTTGTCTATTTTGGCTTTCGTTGCCATTATTTTTGGTGTTACAGTCATGAAGTCCTTGCCTATGTCCTGAATGGTATTGCCTAGGTTTTCTTCTAGGATTTTTATGGTGTTACATCTTATGTTTAAATCTTTATCCATCTGGAGTTAACTTTTGGATAAGGTGTAAGGAAGGGATCTAGTTTCAGCTTTCTGCATATGGCTAGCTGGTTTTCCCAATACTAAGGTGGGAAGACTGGGGAGGGATAACGTTGGGAGAAATACCTAAAGTAGGTTATGGGGGAATGCAGGCAGCAAATTACCATGTCATGTGTGTACCTATGCAACAGTCCTGCGAGATCCGCACATGTACCCCAGAACTTAAGGTATAATTAAAACAAAAAACAAAACACAAAAACCAAACAAAGAGAAAATGGTAAAATGGGGCAAATTTTTGTCTTCTAGAAAACCTGGGTACTTAAGCCTCTCACTTGTAGGAAACACTATCTGCTATTAGACATTTTTCTCTGTTTCTGAACTTTTTCTATCTATGATTTTTAGTGTTTAATTTTTAAGACTTCTGGTTCTGTAAGGCGTGATACTTATAACAAAAATATAGAAAAATCTGATGCTAAGTTTATACATTGTTCTATTGCTTTTATCTTTTTTATCTGAATAATTGTGCTTTCTGGAGGATCTTATAGTCTAAATTCAATGAAAATATAAATATTAATAGAGCCCAATCAGATGCGATTGCAACCTCATAATGTATTTTGAACAATTTCACATGTGAAAGTAGCATAATTGATAGCACAGGTGGCCCCTTCCCTCCTTTCTCTCATTAAGCTGTTTGCATATGTTGTACTAGCTTCAGTATGCCTACACAGCAATTCAGCAGAATAAAGAAAAAGAACAGAAAGGTAAGTCATGTTTCAATAAAAAGGAAGGACACATCTGTTATTCAAATTATAACACTCATGCACATTACTGTAAGTCATTTAAATAATAAATACATTTGTAAATTATTATAATACCTATTCCAGTCTGAAAACCCTCACACTATCTCTCTCTATAATATATATACATACACACAGATATAAAAAATATAGTAATAAAGATTAACTATAAAAATGATAGATGATCATAAAAAAGAAGCCTGAAAAATGGGGCCGCCTTCTACACTCTGACCCATTTTTCTGAAATTCTGAATGGCAGCTGCCATTTTGACATGTTTTCATTTTCTTTTGCAACAAAACCTCAATTTTGTTGGCCTTAATACTTTTATTTCTTGGCAGGCGCCCATCACAACCTCCCCACAAAATTTCCTACAACATCTCTAACTGCTTTAAGTTTGCCGAGCCATTTCTGCTTAGTCTTGCTATCTTTGAAATTCCATTTTGATAATCCATCTCATTAAAAAGTACTAGAGGCCTCATGTTTATTTATTATTTAAACATGGCTCATGAAGCCATCATTCAAAACTCTGAATGCACTTACTAATGTATCTTATAGAAAACATATATCCATATGCTTTTTTAGATTCTGATGATGTCTCCATGTGCTCAGCCATCTATATTTAATGAAAAGCTATTTTTTTTTTTCCTGGCAAATTTCAAATATCTATGGAGTTATCTAATGTGCAGGCACGGACTTCCTGTGTGACCTTGGACAATCTTGTTATATCTCCATAGATTTAAATCTATGGAATGGAACACTGTAATGAAGATCACTTTTCAAAAATATTAATTAGAAACTGTGAAGTGATTCAGATTAGTAGTCCAAGTTTTTACCATTTGCAGAGGTCAATCATGCATGGGATGTACATTAACCCTTTTAAGCTATTATTAGGTAATCACTCAACAGGTACTTGAGGCTCTCTCTGAAGCAAGACATACCCTTCCTTATGTCTCTTCTGCTCTTGCCTTCCCCAGCTTTCTGCAGCTGTGTGTGTAAAGTCTACACCGAGGCAGGGAAGCCCTTAGACAGCTGCTCTCCCAACAGGTGGGTTTGCTTTGGGTCCCATTTCCGGTTGGGCTGCTCTGAGAGGTACTTCTGAGCTAACCACAGAGTTCCTGCATTTTCGTCTGAGTCATTCTTGCTGAGTTGACCTTCTCTGCATTCACAGCCACTAATCATTAAACACCATTTTTTTTCTTGAATTGCCCTTTATGATCAGCCAGGATGAAAGCACCCTTCTTCCTTCACTCCCTGTCCTCCGCAGTAATTCCGTTCTAACAAGGGAATGCTAGCACCCAAATTTTCAGTGTTGAAACTCCTTCTCTTTCCAATGTCCTCTGCGTGCTTTGGTTGTGGGCATCTTTTTTGCCCATATTGCAAAGTCTTGCTCAGGTAACCTCTGTAGTTCTCGCTTGAGCCTGGGACTTCTTTTCTTACCAGTTACCCTCTTTCAGGACCAAAGCTCTACTCCTCAAGGCCATAACTAGGCCCTCTCCTCTCCAAATGATGCCTCAGGTGCCCAGACCTTTCTGACTGTCTGGGATTCAACTTTTCAGCAGTCTTCATCCCTGCGTTTCATCTAGTTCTAGGATGAAGCCTTCTGATTCTTTGCTGTCCGCTGATCCCTACGTGAGCCTGAGACTGCTGTTCCCTGAAGTCTTGTCTGTGAGAATCTAGGCCTGCTTCATAAAACCTGTCACTCTGCTAATGGTTAGCTGCCGAACAAAGAGTTCTCTGGCCAAATAAGTTTTTAAAACTGTGATAAAAATATTATTTGGGTTTTCTTTTCACAGGACTTACCTAGGCCTTTAATATGTATCTATAGAGATAAAAATAAAACGGTATAGTTTTTCCAAATGTATTTGTTGAAGAAACATTTGTCTTCTGAGTTTCTTAAAGGCGGAGTGTTCTATGGAACATACTTTAAAATGCTTTTTAAAGATTAGACCAGAGGATCTCCAAGGTCTCTTTCAGTTTTATAGCCCCTGAGTCAATGATTCACCAAAAAATATTTTGGGGGGAAGTGATTGAAATGGAAAAATTTGTTAGTGTTTAGCTAGCTTTGTCCAAAGGATAAGATGCACTGTACTTTGCTTGCTAGGGAGTTATTTTGGATAATGGAGGAAAAGGAAAGCAGAAGACCCTCTCATTGTTTTGTTTGTTCAATCACTGAGCATATTTATTGAGACCTGTGATGTGCTGGTGTGCATAATTCTAGTCATGAAATTTTAACAATGAATAAGATTCTATTCCATATATGAGTTTCCAAAAGCATTATCCAGAATATCTATATCAAAATAATATATTTTATCATATTCAATATATGTGATTTAAAATGCACTCAGAAAATCTGCTTGTTAAAATGCAGATTCTAATGCTTCACCCCAAATAGTCTGATTCAGACGGGCCCCGGATTTTAAACTAGCATCACATAGCATACTTATGTCCACCAACGTGTAAGAACTGCTGCTATTAAGACTCTGGGATGGTAGTTGAGAGCTGGAGCTTGTTGTCAGGTGGCTTTAGATTGGAAAGAGAAACTCATGCTGACGAGGTGAGGACTGTCAGGAAATAAAGCAGGCATCTAGTCTCCCAGTAAGATAAGGTCTAGAAGGCAACTGATACACGCATGCTAAGTGCTCAAAATATATTAATTCCTGTACTCCATCATGGCTCAAGAAAATACAATAGCTGAGCACACCCAGAGGTTGCTTACTCCTTCCTCATCATTCTAGTGTCTTACTTCGTTTCCATGTGAATTCACGTGTGAGGAGATAACTGGAATCCCTCCAGAGATGGAAGATCCTTCCTAGTTTAATCCACACCTTGATTGATTGATTTCTCAGTTAGAATCAGGTATTGACAAAAATTCAAATGTCAGATTACAAAGGCGTGTGGGATTTTTCTTCCCACGTTACACAGTGTAAGTCTATTGTTTTCAGATCAGAACTTGAGACACCTCCATCACCACATTTCCTGTTTGTAACTGAAACAGTACACACAAAAGATTTTGAGAAACAGAAGAGAAAAGAAACAGAAGCACAGCTAAAGACAGGTGTTATTGTCATGCTGCTCTTAACATAACAGAGCAACATCACCTAGGAAAATAAGTTTGAGAGGATTTCTAATCTATACATTTTCTTATGGCGAGTTAAGGAATTCTCTCAAAAAAGAAGCATGTCAGGTAAGTGGCATTTAACATTTTTTGTCCCATTTGTATGTCTAAAAATTCACTTAATAATTTCTAAGTCTTTATGACAGGACCCTTAGTATTTAGAAAGTAGTTATTTTTTAAATGTTGGATAACTTTTAGTGTAATCAAAATATATTTTGAAATATGTTAATGAGTATAAGTTGATGTTTTTCTTTTGAAAGAAAAATGTGGACAGTGTCTTAGAGTGTGAATCTAATTACAGCTCTTTAGTAAATGTTCATTGATAATTATGCCATGTGAAGTACTTGTTATTTTTAAAGAAGGTTCTTTGTCTTTCTCTCTAGTTTTGTTTAGCTATTAAACAGGATAGGTGTAATTCTAATTCCTCAGAGATTAGGCACTATAGTATTTTTCAGAGAGCAATCAATTGTCCACATTTGGAGAGATGACAATTTTGAAAAGGCCAGTGAAAATTCAGTTGCTGTGTGATTAATCCTGAAGGTTGTACCCATCTGACTCGCTGTTGTGAATCTATGTTGATGATTCATTCCTCCCGTATTCTTTTATGTACTTTTAATTTTTTAAATAAACATCTTTTTGTTGCAAGAGAAAACTTGCATATTATGTAATGTGGGAGAACTGTGAAATATACATATTAAAAATTCATGCATATTTTTTACAACCTTAAGAACCCAAAATACGTATTTACTTTCAATTTTTATTTATATACATTCTACGTAGTTTGCTTTTCATACTGCAATAATATATACAGCTTTTATATGTACATAATATATACAGCTTTTTCCACTAACATAAACATGTCCCTTTTCAATCTAACTTCTGCCTGCCTAGCGATTTTAAATGAATGCACAAAAATGACATCTATTCAGCTATAGTTTAGTCATTTGTTTATTGCTGAACACTTATGCTGTATACAGTTTTTAAAAATATTTTTATATGACGGAAAGATGAACAATGCTATAGGATTTTCTGTATTAAAGGTTATTTTCTCAGAAAAACTTTCTAGAATTGAAATTACTAAGAGATTACGAGCATTTTAAGTCTCATTATTGCCAAATTGCTTTTCCAAGAGTGACGCCAATTTCCTCTCATTCTAGCAGGGCTTCTCCTTCACAGGCTGATTTCATTTTAAAAATATTCACTAATATCATAAGCACAACATGCTAACTCATCGTTTCATATGGCTGACATTGATTATACCCAGGTTAAACATTTTTGCATGGATTTTTAAACTGTGTATAATTCTATCATTTGTGAAATGTCTGATTACACCTTTTGCTTATTATTATGCTTATAGTGCTTTTAATTCCAATTTGTATACATCATTTCAGGAGTAAATATTTTATATATTATAATTTCTGTGAATTTGCTTCCATTGTTCTGTTTGATGGATCTTAAAATCAATTGATTTGATAAATCACAAAGAGACAATAAGCCAACATTGAATTTTCATACCTCTTATTTTTCCCAGTTCACAGTTTAGCAAAGAACAAAGACAGTTGTCCCATTTTTGCTAGTGCTCTGCAAGAAATGAGCATAGCGTTAGTAAGTATAATGCCATGAGCTGATGTTGATGGGAACTCAGAAAGCATAGGAAGACCAAAGACAGTGAATATGAGCTGATGTTGATGGGAACTCAGAAAGCATAGGAAGACCAAAGACAGTGAATATGAGCTGATGTTGATGGGAACTCAGAAAGCATAGGAAGACCAAAGACAGTGAATATGAGCTGATGTTGATGGGAACTCAGAAAGCATAGGAAGACCAAAGACAGTGAATATGAGCTGATGTTGATGGGAACTCAGAAAGCATAGGAAGACCAAAGACAGTGAATATGAGCTGATGTTGATGGGAACTCAGAAAGCATAGGAAGACCAAAGACAGTCAACTATTTCCAGGACTAATTAATTCTAAATTTAGAAGAGATACAGTAACATTTCCTCCGTAGCATTTTGTAGTTCAGATTTCCCCTTTGGGTTTAATACAAGAGCTCCTCCATTATCAGTTGAGAACTTTTACAGTTTCATGGAAGACATGCAAAGACACAGTATTTAAAAGCCTCACAGGTATTAAAAGTCAAAACAAAATTTCACATGAAAGAAGAGAATCAGATGATCGTTTGTATCACTTTGTATTTTTATATAATATAAAAAATTATATTAAAAATATAATTATAGGCCAGGTGCAGCGGCTCATGCCTGTTATTCCAGCACGTTGGAAGGCTGAGGAGGTTAGATCACGAGGTCAGGAGATCAAGACCATCCTGGCCAACATGGTGAAACTCCATCTCTACTAATACAAAAAATTAGCGGGGCATGGTAGCATGTGCCTTTAGTCCCAGCTACTTGGGAGGCTGAGGCATGGAAATAGCTTGAACTTGGGAGGCAGAGGTTGCAGTGAGCCAAGATGACACCACTATACTCCAGCCTGGTGACAGAGTGAGACTCCATCTCAAAAAAAAAATATATATATATTGATGGGAACTCAGAAAGCATAGGAAGAAAGACCAAAGACAGTGAATATGAGCTGATGTTGATGGGAACTCAGAAAGCATAGGAAGACCAAAGACAGTCAACTATATATATATATATTTTTTTCTTTTTTGGTATTATAGTACCAGAACACATTCCTGCTATGTTTCTTCATTTACATCAAATCAATAGTAGTGGAATCAAATGTTGAAAACAATGCCTTCGGGCTATCATAAATTTAAATAATGATTCACAATTTAGTTTACTTGTCATTTTTTTTTTTTTTTTAAAAAGGGGGTCTTGTTGTCTCTATTCAGTTTTATCTTCTCTTCAGCCTCATCACCATTTAAGAACAATGAAATCTTTTCTTTTAGGGACAAGGTGGGACTAACCTCTAAATTATCTTTTAAACTCAGATGGGTCATAGACAATATTTCTCCATTTAATTTAGGTAATATTAGGAAATGAGTTGGGCAGTGTTCTTAAGTCAATCCAGGAAAGATTGCCAATTAAAGATCACAGTTCCAAGAAATAAATGTCCACAAGTTGCTAGTGGATAAAATAAATTATTGGGCACTTTTCCAGACATTTTTGATTACACTCAATCTTCTCGGCATTCCCGAATTAAAGGGAAGAGATAATAGAATTAATCCACCTTCTTGAACCATTAAGAGAAACATAATAGTCAAAGTATTTTATCGGATAAAAGGTTTTACACAGCCATGCCATCTTCAAAGCACCTTACTAAGGCTCTTCTCAAATAAGAAACAATAAAAACATATAAATGGAGTCACTCAATACAGAGAAAGAGGTTCATCTGCAGATGCACTTTAATCTCAGTAGGATTTCTGAGGTTTACCTATCTCAGGTAAAGTCTAATTATAAAAACAATGAAGAGTCTAGCAGTTGAGGAGTCATAATTTACTCTCTTCTGCCCTCCACCTCACTCGTATATTTATACTTTCTTCAATTAATTGTTGGCTGAGGGAAATAATGTGCTAGGAAGTCATGTAACACAGATGAACAGATGAGCTCCAGTTTTACAGCTTAGAGAGGTTCAGTGATTCGCACACACCAGCCACACAACTCGTGATTACTCTCATTCCCTTTTCCACAGTTTGAAAATAGGTATCCCAAAGCTACTATTTGCTATTTTCTCTCTTCCCATCAGAGCCCACTCCCCAACCCACACCATTTATTTCTCAACCCCCTACTCATAAAAGACACTTAAGGCCAGTGGATTTCAGATTTGCACTAAAAATGGCCTGGTATTTACTTGAAAGTCTGGAACTGATGTGAGAGTCCCCTCTTGTGTTAATATCCATGATTCGAATGTCTTTTATTGTGGGAGATGAGGGGGCTGGATAGCAGTGCTTAGGATTGTGAGCGTAATGGTGTGTCATATTCAAAAAATCATCAAGAATGTGTCTTATTTAGCACCAACCACCACGGTAAGAAAAACTCATTTTATGAGTAGACCCATGGGGATCATAATATTGCCATTGAGATTTCTGAAATAAATATACATATTCATGGGATGCAAAGAGATGTTCATGGCTCTGAGTTTACAAGCCAAGGAAAGCCATTAAGAGAAGCTATACGCTGCAGTGTACTATCAACTTATACCCTTGTCTCAGTTAAAGGTAAAGGCAGCCTGAAGTAGAAACAATTAAGGCATTATATTCATTGCTTTTTCTGTTGTTAAGTAAAGGCTTCTGCGTAAATCAAATCTGCCATCGGAAAGACATTTTATTTGCTTAGCTGGGTTTCCTTCCAGAGCACATGCAATTGTGAATTTCAAAGACGGTGCCTGCCAATTACTGTTGGCTTTAAGGGAGTCAGAGGTTTTATAATTAAATCCACCACTATTAGCCCCTGGTAGTTGGAAGCTAGAGAGAAACTTAAAGCATGATTTTCCTAGCTGCCATTGCCTCACTGGTAATTTCTAGAGGCCTTTGGCTTTTTAACAGTGTAAATAGCTGAATTCAAATTGTGTGGGAGATTTTTAAAACTGATAAAAGCTGTATAAATTAAAGTAATTACAATTAATGAATATCGATACTACAGGTTACACATGTTGGGCAAAAAAATTTAAGCACTTTGTGCATCCAGTATTCTAAGAGGCACTGTCTGTACTAAGTAGATACCCACAGGGGGATGGAGATATTTATACTGCATATTTAGAATTACTGGGTAAGGGGAGGCAGAGAGAGAGAGAGAGAGAGAGAGAGAGAGAGAAAGAGAGAGAGAGAGAGCGCGCGTGTGTGTGTGTGTGTACATCTATACAGATCTGAATTCAAGTTGAAAATTTCCACCATTTATCTACTTCATGTATCTATTCTTCTCATGTGTGTGTGTTGTTTTTCAAAATGGGGTATTGTGGACAATCCAAAAATTATGAAAGATACTTAAAATGTCATAAAATGCAAAGCCTCTAAATAAAAGTCTTCCTGTTTAAAATTTATATCATATTAAAAAAAAAACTTGACTAACAGAAGTGTTTGGAATTATAGACCCTAAAAGCAGAGGAAACCCGAGACCACGTGAGACTATATCTCACATACCTAAACTACTCCCAAATATAATTTTTTAATTTAATTTTTTAAGACAGAGTTTTGCTCTTGTTGCCCAGGCTGGAGTGCAATGGCATGACTTCAGCTCACCGCAACCTCCACCTCCTGGGTTCAAGCAATTCTCCTACTTCAGCCTCCAGAGTAGCTGGGATTACAGGTGCCCACCACCACTCCTGGCTAAATTTTTTGTATTTTTAGTAGAGATGGGGTTTCTCTGTGTCAGACTGGTATTGAACTCCGCACCTCAGGTGACCCACCTGCCTCAGCCTCCCACAATGCTGAGATTACAGGCGTGAGCTACCGCTCCTGGCCCACATTAGAGTTTAGATTGTGTTTTAAAAGGCCTCCAAGTGGTGATGTGGGGCAAATTTATTCTACCAGGAAAAGATAAGACACAACTCTAAAGAAACATACAGTGTGACCCAAGTTCTTGCCTTAGCGTTTCTGACATCTTTCATAAAAACGATTAGGACTTTCCCAAAAGCTTTTAGTGTATCATATAGGCTTATGATATTGTTTAGGTTGTTTCTTTGTAGCTGAGAGTCAAATTATGTTCTTATATCAATTAATGGACCAATACAACTATTCCAATTCTCTTTAATTGGAAAGGAGAAAACAAAACTGCTATTTGAAATATAATTTTGTCCAAATGATAGGATGATTTATAGCTAAATTTAGTGTAATTTAAAGTATAAGATTAGGGCTTTCTGTTTACTTCCTTGAACTATGACTGTCCATACTGTATTTTATTTACTTGAAGTGGAACTCCATATTGAATGTATACTAAATCCTACATGCTGTCGAAAATTGAAAGAAAAAAATGCGAAGTAGAAAAGAGATTGATTTTTATTAGGGTTCCCAAGGGTGATAAGTGCCGGAGATTCATTATTATTTTCCATGTATTTCTTTGCCCCTCCCCCAAAAAGAAGGGTATTAGAAATAAGTGTAATAGTATAAAAGATAACCAAATAAGTCAGGGTGAAGGGAAAATAGGACAAAAGGATGCCATCAGTTCACAAACAATATAAGTATCATAAAGTCCTGGATATTTGCTTAAAGTAGATTGTGTATCAAACACAGACAGATGATTCAGTACAATATTCACATGGGATATGACAGCAAAGTGTACCAGTGCTGAAGGACATCCCCATGCCTTTATACTTGAGGCACCATATGATGTATTAAATACCATCCAGTTCATAGTATTCCCAAAATTAATACGGCCCATGGAGAGTTTCATACAGCTGGTTCTTTTTCTTAAAACATGTTTTGTTTTGTCCTGAGACCAAAGGTCCAAATGTGGAAAATGGAAGCAAATAAGAAAGAGCAACAGAGATTTTTAGATTTTATTTTCTGACTACAACATGAAGTTCAACTCTGTTGCCATTTTAGGGCAGGTCGTTTGCTTTAATGGTTGGTGAGATGGAAGCAGTTTTGACATTCCCCTAAGAAATTTCCAAAACATAACTGGGACATGTCCCAGAATAGAAAGTCATCAAAGTCTATTTTACTTTCATTCATGGGTAGATCCAGGTAGTTTCACACAGGCAAGGTCAAAATAATCTTTCCAAAATCAATTTCTCATCCTTTCAGCATTTAATGATCAAGGTCCCAAAGTATATGCCATAGAAATTGGATGCAATAATTATAGCTTAACCTATTTCTAAAGCAGGGTTACCGGTCCAATTTGGTCAAAGGTAAATTATTAACGCATCCATTAAATGCTCAATTTTAACAAATGCAACTCCCTGGTCAACTCTATAATAAATTAACTATAAAATGTGTTCTTAGGGAAGTTGTTCTATACTATATTATGTAATTGTCATTGCACAATGTACAGTCATGTGCTGTATAACAATGTTTTGGTAGGGCCAGGTGGTGTGTCTCAAGCCTGTAATCCCAGCACCTTGGAAGGCTGAGGTGGGAGGATCACAAGATACAGGGTTCAAGACCAGCCTGGCCAACATGGTGAAACTCTGTCTCTACTAAAAACACAAAAATTATCCAGGTGTGGTGGCCCATGCCTGTAATCCCAGCTACTCAGGAGGCTGAGACAGGAGAATTGCCTGAACCCTGGGAGGTGGAGGTTGTAGTGAGCCAAGTTTGTACCACTGCACTCCAGCTTGGGTGCAAGCACAAGACTCCATCTCAAACATACACAACACAACACAACACAACACACACACACACACACACACACACACCCCAATGTTTTGGTCAATGATTGACCACAGATTATAAAGGGGCTGAAAAATATTTATCCTTTAGTGACATAACTGTTGGAATGTCATAATGCAATTCATTACTCATATGTTTCTGGTGATGCTAGTGTAAACAGACCTACTGTGCTGTTACTTGCAGAAAACTATAGCACACGCAATTCTGTACAGAATACTTGGTAATTATAATAAATGACTATATTACTAGTTTATATATTTACTATACTATGCTATTATCATTATCTTATACTTCCTGTACTTATTAAAAAGTTAACTGTAAAACAGCCTCCAGTAGGTCCTTCAGGAGGTATTCCAGGAGACATTGCTATTATAGGAGATGACTCCTCCAATGTGTCATTTCCCCTAGTGGGACAAGATGTGGGGGTGGAAGACAGTAATACTGGTTTTTCTGACTTTGTTTATGCCTAGGACAAAGAGAAGTGTAATTAACTTCCCACAATACATTCATGGAGCTCTACATAGTATGAGAAAAGCTCCCTGTGGCCAATATTAACAAAACTAGGCTCCAGCATTATTTTATCCCAACACATCATATTCTGTGCTACTGAGATTAGTGGAAGGGAACAGGCAAATTTCTGTAAATAAGAAAAGTGTGTATGATTACAGTCTGAGGATTAAGGGAAGGTGAAAAGTAGAGCAAATTAAAATTCTTGGTAATCTGAATGTTCTCGATTTTCGAACAAAAGTTCTTTATCAGTCACCATTTGTCACGTCTTAAGAGCTACACAAGAAGTCTCATTCCATAAACACTCAAATGTGAGAAACTTGAATCCTTCTGCCCATGCTGAATTCAGTGGCTTAACGCTAACACCCACTTTGAAAACTGAAAAGTTATGAATATTAATTAATTTCCTGGTAGAGGATTTGTCCTTCATTATGAGTAAATGCAACAGCTTTTTTTTTTTTTTTTTTTTTTTTTTGAGACGGAGTTTCGCTCTTGTTACCCAGGCTGGAGTGCAATGGCGCGATCGCGGCTCACCGCAACCTCCGCCTCCTGGGTTCAGGCAATTCTTCTGCCTCAGCCTCCTGAGTAGCTGGGATTACAGGCACACGCCACCATGCCCAGCTAATTTTTTGTATTTTTAGGAGAGACGGGGTTTCACCATGTTGACCGGGATGGTCTCGATCTCTTGACCTCGTGATCCACCCGCCTCGGCCTCCCAAAGTGCTGGGATTACAGGCCAGACCAGAACAAATGGGTTAGCAGCTATGATATCATGGGTATGTTTGTTTTCATTTCCAGGGAGCTCTGGGTGCCCCTTTTTCCTCTGGGGACTTCTAGCATTCTTGGGCTTGGCTTTGGTTACATCCCTGATCTTCAATATTTCCCACTGTGTGGAAAAGCAACGACAAGGTAAGACGTTTTGACAAACGTTACGTGGTACCTGCTTGAATGGAGACTAGGGAATCACTGGAAACCCTGTGGAAGTAGAAAATGTTATGAAATGTCATTCAACAGGTTATTTTTGCCTATAGAAAATCTATTTGCTAATTTTTCTTACCCAAAGGGTTCTCGCATTTAAGAATACAATCATATGAGAAATGTGAAAAAATTACCCAATTTAGCTTTCTCTCTGCTTTAGGGTGTAGATTGGGAAGGGATTATCCTGGTAAACAGGGTTTTCCTTCTCCAACTGAACAACTTATGACATTGTAGTTTATTCTGGGGAAGCCATCAAGGTTCTCTCTGATACATGGGGAATAAAGGGAGGTCTAGCCCTTTAAGATTCCATTTAAGCCAACTTAATCTCAGGATCAGTCAGGCACTCTCAAGTATAATACATAGAAGCGGTCTCAGAAGACAACTAGAAAAGGCATAGATGGAAGCATGGGCTTGCTGTCAGACACTCCCAGGGTTTAGAAGAGTAGGTCAAGGGTATCTGCCACTGTCAGCTTTGCTTTTCAATATGCTGGGCATAAATTTTAACCGTGTGGCTTCCAATCTGCATGTGCCACAACTGAAATGGTGTAAAGTCCAGCAACTGGCACACCCTTTGTATGCTGTAGGCATCCAATGCATGTTGAATACACATTGATCAATGTTGAATCCATTACATGTTGACTACAGATGGATGGATGGAAAAATGAAAGTCCAGCTATTGCTGGAAGATGTCTTTTTTTTTTTTTTTTTTTTTTTTTTTTTTTGAGACAGGATCTTGCTCTGTCATCCAGCATGGAGTGCAGTGGCATGATTCTAACTCACTGCAGCCTCAAACTTCTGGGCTCAAGCAATCCTCTTGCCTCAGCCTCTCAAGTAATTAGGATTACAGGCATGCACAAACACACCCAGCTACATTTCAGATTTTTTATTGTAGAGATGGGGGTCTCTCTATGTTGCCCAGGCTGATCTTATACTCTTGTTCTCAAGTGATCCTCCTGCCTTGGCCTCCCAAAACCCTGAGATTACAGTTGTTAGCAACCACACCCAGCCTGGAAGGTGTTTAAATATCAAGAAATCCTTAGGGGCAGGACATAAGTGGTAATAAAAGAAAAGAAAGGATAAATGCATTTTCTTTTAACAGAGGAAATGAAAGAAAACTAAGTTAACAAAATTAATTTGACACCTGTCCAAGAAAAATTGTACAGAACCAATTTAGAACAAAGGTCAGATCGCAGCAAGTATCCTTTCTTCTTTTAGAAACATCTTAAGCTTTGATAATATTAATATGAAATACGAAGGGATTATTGTCGTGCAGGCTTGGAAAAAAGATGAGAGGCTTCAACAATGGGGCGGCACAGCTGAAGCCACGCATCTATTCAGCAGCAAAATCAGTGAGTGTCCACTTCTCTAATTCTCTGTCTGATAAGGTTTCTACCAGCACATCCAACTCTGACATTGCTCACCAGCTGTCCTTAGCCAGAAACCCAACACTCTTTGGATCTCTATGATATCAATTCTACGGCTAAGGTGAAAGTCCTAGCAAGCAATTCTTTTTCATTAGCAATGCTTTCCGTAATACTTTAAAAAATCTAATATATTTTCAAATAAACTTCCTAAGTCAAACGTATAAATGACTCATCATCAAACATCTTCTACAGTTTCCCTCTTTTATAGATGAAAATGAGCTCAGAGTAGCACCTTTCTTTATATATTCAACTGGCTATTTTAACTCCTTCATTAAGATATCTGATAAATGCAGATAATGTAATCTGAATTACAAAACAAAAACATGAATTGATATCTACAGAGAGTAAATAATTTAAGGGGAAAACCAAGACAAGAACAGTAATCTGAACTGGACAAAGAAGGACATTACATAATGGTAAAAGGATCAATGCAACAAGAAGAGCTAACGATCCTAAATATATATGCACCCAATACAGGAGCACCCAGATACATAAGGCAAGTTCTTAATGACCTACAAAGAGACTTAGACTCCCTCAAAATAATAGTGGGAGACTTTAACACTCCATTGTCAGATCAACCAGACAGAAAATTAACAAGGATATCCAGGACTTGAACTCAGACCTGGACCAAGCAAACCTAACAGACATTTATAGAACTCTCCACCCCAAATCCACAGAATATACATTCTTCTCAGCACCACATCACACCTACTCTAAAATTGACCACATAATTGGAAGTAAATCACTCCTCAGCAAATGCAAAAGAACGGAAATCATAACAAACAGTCTCTCAGACCACAGTGCAATCAAGTTAGAACTCAGAATTCAGAAACTAACTCGGAACTGCACAGCTTCATGGAAACTGAACAACTTCCTCTTGAATGTTGACTGGATAAACAATGAAATGAAGGCAGAAATAAAGATGTTCTTCAAAACCAACAGGAACGAAGACACAACATGCCAGAATCTCTGGGACACATTTAAAGCAGTCTCTAGAGGAAAATACATAGCAATAAGTGTCCACATGAGAAGCAAGGAGAGATTCATAATTGACACCCTATTGTCAAAATTGAAAGAGCTAGAGGAGCAAGATCAAAAAAGCCTCAAAAGCTAGCAGAAGACAAGAAATAACTAAGATCAGAGCAGAACTGAAGGAGATAGAGACACGAAAAACCCTTCAAAAAAAAAGATCAATAAATCCAGGAGCTGGTTTTTCGAAAAGATCAACAAAATAGACCACTAGCCAGATTAATAAAAAAGAAAAGAGAGAATAACCAAATAGATGCAATAAAAAATGATAAAGGGGATACCACCACAGATCCCACAGAAATTCAAACCACCATCAGAGACTACTACAAACAACTCTATGCACATAAACCAGTAAACCTGGAAGAAATGGATAAATTCCTGGACACTTGCCTCCTCCCAACCCTAGACCAGGAAGAAGTTGAAACTCTGAATAGACCAATAACAAGGTCTGAAGTTGAGGCAGCAATTAAGAGCCTACCACACAAAAAAAAAGCCCAGGTCCAGATGGGTTCACAGCCGAATTCTACCAGACACACAAAGAAGAACTGGTACCATCCCTTCTGAAACTATTCCAAACAATCCAAAAAGAGGGAGTCCTTCCCACATCATTTTATGAGACCAACATCATCCTGATACCAAAACCTGGCAGAGACCCAACAAGAAAAGAAAACTTCAGGCCAATATCCATGATAAACACAGATGCAAAAATCTTCAATAAAATACTGGCAAGCCGATTGCAACAGCACATCAAAAAGCTTATCCACCATGATCAAGTAGGATTCATCCCGGGGATGCAAGGCTGGTTCAACATACTCAAGTCTATAAATGTAATTCACCACATAAACAGAACCAAAAACAAAAACCACATGATACCTCAATTGATGCAGAGAAGGCCTTTGACAAAATCCAACAGCTCTTTATGCTAAAATCCCTCAATAAACTCGGTATTGATGGAACATATCTCAAAATAATAAAAGCGATTTATGACAAACCAACAGCCAATATCATACTGAATGGGCAAAAACTGGAAGCATTCCCTTTGAAATCCGGCACTAGACAAGGATGCCCTCTCTCACCACTCCTATTCAATATAGTACTGGAAGTTCTAGCCAGAGCAATCAGGCAAGAAAAAGAAATAAAGGGTATTCAAATAGGAAAGGTGGAAGCCAAATTGTCTCTATTTGCAGACGACATGATAGTATATCTAGAAGACCCCATTGCCTCAACCCAAAATCTCCTGAAACTGATAAGCAACTCCAGCAAAGTCTCAGGATACAAAATCAATGTGCAAAAATCACAAGCATTCCTATACACCAATGACAGACTTAAAGAAAGCCAAATCAAGAATGAACTGCCATTCACAATTGCTGCAAAAAGAATAAAATACCTAGGAATACAACTAACAAAGAATGTATAGGACCTCTTCAAGGAGAACTACAAACCACTGCTCAACGAAATAAGAGAGGACACAACACAAACAGATGGAGAAACATTCCATGCTCATGGTTAGGAAGAATCAATATTGTGAAAATGGCCATACTGCCCAGAGTACCTCGCTCTTTCATTGAGTCCACTGGTAATCCTTTGAAGACTGCTGAGGGCCAGGTAACAGATAGACACTGACATGTTTATCTTCAGCTCAGTCGTCTAACTTAAAATTTATCCAGCAAATGTGATCTATTTACTTTCAACCTAAATTTTCAATTTTTTCAGTCCTGTGATTGCACTGAATTATGGATGTTAGGAAACACTTTTCATCATCATCATCAAGATCAGGACTGGTATAATTTGGCTAATGTAGTACTTCTACCTGAGAAGTATTCAGCTCTACTTGTCTTCTACAACTCTTTGTAAACAGGTTTAACAAGTCTCATTTTTGGCAGTTTGTGCATTGGGATTTATTTTCCCACATCCATGCCTTTTTGCCTCCATGAAAACTCCTTTGCGTAGTTGCTTATTATGGTAAGTTGACCTCTGCAGAAAGACAGTAGCCTTACTTTAAAAAGCAGTGCCTGTAATTCCAGCACTTTGTGAGGCAGAGGTGGGTGGATCACCTGAGGTCAGCAGTTGGAACCAGCCTGGCCAACATGGAGAGATCCCATGTCTACTAAAATTACAAAAGTTAGCTGGGCATAGTGGTGTGTGCCTATAATTCCAGCTACTCGGAAGACTGAGGCAGGAGAATCACTGGAACCCAGGAGGCAGAGGTTGCAGTGAACCAAGACAGCGCCACTGCACCCCTGCCTGTGTGAAAGAGCGAGACTACATCTCAAAAAAAAGCAACACCTTTTCATTTTGTTATTTCAGGACAGATTTTTTTCTTTTCAATTGTACAAACCCTTACTGCCCCAGGCATGCCATAAATGGCTCTATTACCTAAAAGTAGTGTAATGTGAGGGAAAATTTTTAAGAAAACAATAAATTGTATTTATTGGTATATTTTTAAAATAAATTTTGCTTCCCTCAATTGTTTTTGAT